ATGTAAAAAGAATGAAAATGGAATGGCTGATGATGTAAGAGATTTTGTAGCCCATGAGAAATGAACTGAGTTTCATAAAATGAAAATATATTAAGACTGTTGGGAATACAGGGGAGTGGACAAATTATGTCTGCTTGGGAGGAGAAAAACAAGCATTCACGGAGGTGACCATGGAGCTGGGACTTCAAGGGTGTGTAAGGTTTCTCCAGATGGTGGAGGCAGAAGCGCTCCAGGTAGCAGGACCGCATGGGCAAGAATACAGAGGCATGAAAGAGCCTCAGCTCCACAGTAGCTAAGTACCTTTCAGCCTTGCAATTAGGAAATTGAGGGTCCAGACCAGTTGAGACAGTTGAAGGATGATAAAAAGCAAAGAACATATTGAATGAGTAGAATATTTTTATACATCTAGGAAATTAAAAAAAAGACTTTATAGAAGCCATAAATTAGATATAATTCACTTATATTTTCTTTTTTTTTTTAAGATTTATTTATTTATTTTAGAGAGAGACAGAGAGAGGGAGAGCACGAGAGGGAGGAGGGTCAGAGGAAGAGGGAGAGAGAGAATCTCCAGCAGAATCCTTGCTGAGCACAGAGCAGGGCTCGATCCCAGGACCCTGAGATCATGACTTGACCCAAAATCAGGAGTCGACCACTTAACGCACTGAGTCACGCAGGCGCCCCATAATCCACTTATATTTTCAATGTATTTCTAGCGAGTTTTTTTTAACACCCCAATGTAAAAAATACATAGAATATAGAATTATCATGCTGGAGGTGGATTTGCCAGAATAAATAGCTATGCAACACATTGCTTTTTATGGTTGAGAATAGTACCTGGTATATGGTATGTACCACTGAACATGTGTTGATTGAAAGAAGAAATGAATCAATCAGCAAGTTAATGTCTACTTGGGCAGAAATTGTGACTTAGGGCTCAGTTCTACTCCCACTTCTCTACCATTTTATATGAGCCCATTCTTGTTGACATAAAGGACATTCTCATAAAAACAAAACAAAACAAAACAAAACAAAACAAAAAACCCTGAGGGGCGCCTGGGTGGCTCAGTCATTAAGCGTCTGCCTTTGGCTCAGGTCATGATCTCAGAATCCTGGGATGGAGCCCCGTATCAGGCTCCCTGATCAGCGGGAAGCCTGCTTCTCCCTCTCCCACTCCCCCTGCTTGTGTTCCCTCTCTCGCTGTGTCTCTCTCTGTCGAAATAAATAAAATCTTAAAAAAAAAAAAAACCCTAAAATCATCATTTTACAACTGTGAATTTACAAAATGCAACTAATTTTTCAAATATATTTTGACATATACATAACATGCACACTAAAAATTCTATCCAAATTGGTTCTCATATTAACCCTCAAGTATCTAGGTATTTTAGTGAAACCCTTATTTAGTTGCAGTTTATATCAAATGGACTTCTCCTAAAGACCGTTCTTTCTAGGTGATTTTTCTATAACTCTCAGGGTTCACTTTTCCTGTCCCTTGCTCTTCTACATATGTGTGCATATATATGATATTAACTTATATCTTATACATATATAGAGAGTGCCTGCCTAAAATTTAGAATTTAACTATTACTACAAAATAACCTTTTTTCATAATAGCTGTATTATTAAAAATTACATGAATTAATCTACTACCAATCAGAGCAGTGTTATATGGAAAATTTAAGCGGTTCGGTATTCTCAATTGCATATTGTACTCTCTATCTCCAGCTGGGTATAAAGGAATGATTTCTCTGTGAGTTTCATTCTCTCTGCACTTCAACATTTGGAGTGGTTACATTGTCACTTTGAATTTGGGTGATAAGAGAATAAATCCCAAGATGACTGCTACATACAAGCAGACTACTCCAGTTTTTGTGGCCATCATTGACTACATTGTTTCTTTGCTGCATATTAAATGTGTTCCCAGGTGTAACCTCCTGGTTCCCCCAGCTGGGAACCTCTTGGGTATTTAGTGTTTAACAGGGTCAGGAACTGCTGTACTATCCAAGCACTGCAGAAGGCAGTATTTTGAGACTTGCATGCTCCAGATGGTTAACTGAGTCTCCCCAATGAAGGGAATCTCTGTCCTTTGCATTAGTTTGTAAGATGTCATGGAGCATCCAGCAAAATGAGCTGATATGATGTTTAATTGTGTCCTTGTAAGCACCAGTGGAGGCGGTTCTAGGAGCTCCGAAATAACATGTGGTTCTTAGTGAGTAACCTTTTCACTAAGCCGAAGATACTTTCTACTGTAACTGAGTGGGCACTCTTTTTTTAAGTTTTTATTTAAATTCCTGTTAGGTGACATATAGTGTAATATTAGTTTCAGGTGTACAATACAGTGATTCAGCACTTCCATACAGCACCCAGTGCTCATCACAACAAGTGCACTCTTTAATCCCCAGCATGTATTTAACCCGTCTCCCCACCCACGTCCCCTCTGGTAACCACCAGTTTGTTTTCTATAGTTGAGTCTGTTTCTTGGTTTGCCTTTCTCTTTTTTCCCTATGCTCATTTATTTCTTAAATTCCACATATACGGGCACCTGGGTGGCTCAGTCTATTGAGCATCTGCCTTTGGCTCAGGTCCTGATCCCAGGGTCCTGGAAACGAGCCCCACGTCGGGCTCCCTGCTCAAGAGGGAAGTCTGCTTCTCCCTCTCCCTCTGCCCCTGCTTGTGTGTTCTCTCTCTCACTCACTCGCTCTCTCTCTCAAATAAATAAGTAAAATCCTTTTTAAAAAATTCCACCTATGTGTGAAATCATACGGTGTTTGTCTTGACTGGCTTATTTTGCTTAGTGTAATACTCTCTAGTTCCATCCATGTCGTTGCAAATGGCAAGATTTCATTCTTTTTTATGGCTGAGTAATACTCCTGTGTGTGTGTGTGTGTGTGTGTGTGTGTGTGTGTGTGTGTGAGAGAGAGAGAGAGAGAGAGAGAGAGAGAGAGATACACACACACACATCTTTATCCATTCATCAGTTGATGAACTTTTGGGCTGTTTTCATAATTTGGGTATTATAGATAATGCTGCTATAACCATACGCTCAATAAGAAAGCCAAAGATGAATCATATAGTACCATCCCTTTTACATTTTTGTTTTTAATATTAATATGAACCTTAACTAAGTATACAGAAAAATAGTTTCCTCCAAAAGGAGTTTTAAATGCTTTATGTTAATCATTTTTTTAAATTTAAACTCAAATATTTAAAAGAGTGAATTAAGAAATATCCCCTATCTTATTCATCTTTGTCTTTCTTATCAAACATATGGTGTGACTTAGGTTATAATTTATTAAATTTGTCACGAAACATTTCTTAGCAGATATAATACCTTTTTCTTCAAATATATCATTAAAGAAGAATAATCCACAGCTTTTTAACTACAACATTTCTACCTAGGATTGGGGCATTATTTAATATTTGCCGACTTTGCATATACAGCACATGTACAATGCAGTGATGATAATGATCCAGGTCATACCAGAAAAATCACTGTGTGACAGAAAGGAGGAAAGAGGGGAAGTTAGTCTTGCAACCGTTCATTCCTACAGCATTGAGGATAACATAGTTTTGATGACTATCTAATATAGGTCCTTAATTCCTATTTGTCAAATAATTATTAATGATGTTATAGGTATTGATAATGATAATGATGGTGATGGTGGATAATAAGGGACATTATCACTCTTGACATCTCAGAAATGTTTGCCTACTTTCCTTCTAGAAATTTCCTTTCCTGGGAAAGACCGTTGAAATAAAACCTATCATTCATCTCTTGATATTGCTAGAACTCACCAAAAGCATTCTTAAGATAAAGCATTTGGTATTGAATGCCTACTCAATGCCATTTGCTATTGAATGTCTACTGAAAGTTATCATTTTTATTTATTTATTTTTTTTACTATCCTAACAAACAGACAAAAGGGTAGAGAGGAAGAGATGTTTCATTCTCTTAGTTTGCAAGTAAACCTTTAAGATTTAGTTTGTTCCAGTTTTGTACTGCCTGAAGGGAAAAGCCTGAATGAATAACTAATTGGAAAGGAGAAATCCTTCGTTCCCAAAGTTGAGCAGTTACTTTGAATGCCTCCAAGAATAGGAGCATTCTGTCCATTGTATATCTTTGGGTGTACGCATCACTCCCTTTGTGCCCTTTGTGATTTCCTTCTAACCATTAGCAACATATTGATTTTATTTATGTCGAACTTGATAATTTTTATTTTACTTTGTTCTCAACTCAGTATAGTAATGCAGAACACGATATGAAGATATAGTCAAAAATTTCTTAGAGAAAGACTTAACTATGACCATGACAATATAAGACAAAAATACAAGAAAAATCTCCCTTTAGCTTCTCTTAGTCAAAACATGAGAAAAGATACAGAGAATTTGGGTTGTCTTTAATGTTTTCCTATGTCACTGTATCCTTAGGTTAATTCAGTCTTGAGGCCTAGAGGTGCTCCTGGAGCTGTAACTGCAATTATTTTTGGTTCCTCAATTTCTCAAATATTCTGTCCTAATTAAAGTCTTCCTACTGCTAGTATATAGTTGTTGATTTTTAAATAGCAATGCAAGTTACTTACAGCCTCTAAAGTAGAGTAAACCTTCAAACCTTTTAGCTTTTCTATGGATAACCTAATCATGAAATTAGAGCATCTATAGTAAGCAGATGAGCCTAATGTAAGCAGCATCATGTTTCCTTTGGTGTATAAATCAATAAAGCTATCATGATGACTTCCAGTTCAATCATCTAGCTCCTGAAAATGAACATAGCTTTTAAAATAGATTTTTAAAATATGTATCATTTGCACTAACAGCTATATTGTTGCCCAGCATTTTGGTTATCATAATTACATCATTCTCAGCGGCACCATATATTCTCAGAATCATTGAGTAATGCCAAATTCAAAAAAAAAAAAAAAAAAGGAGTCCAGCAGATTAAAAAACATGACCTTGAGCTCTGTAAAACAAAGATGCTAGAGTCATACTGTCTTATTTTCCAGGTGCATATGTGCTCCAGGTCAAGGCCACAGACGCGGATGACCCGACCTATGGAAACAGTGCCAGAGTCGTTTATAGCATTCTTCAGGGACAACCTTATTTCTCTATTGATCCCAAGACAGGTAAATTTTTTATTAGAGACAACATTATCACTACCCCTTTCACATATTTAAACTTTACTTAAATCTTGGCATGGGAAGTTACCTATTCTAAAAATGCAGTAAAGATTCAGTGTGCTGTACATTAAGCAAAGGAAGATAGGATCTTACCTTGTGGCTGCAGAACCGTTTCCTCTGGGTTGAACCCTGTGTAAATGTGAGCCATTTCACATGTATATGTCAAGTTCCAATTCCAAGTTAGAGATTCCCTATATGATTTACTTTAAATTTTCAAAGCCTGGGCATATTTTTTTTTTTCTTTTTGATTCGTCTGCATATAATAGAGTTTCATTTCAAATTTTCTTGTTTGGGTTCAATTATATGTAGTGTGGGGCTTTATCAACATGTCATAGGATCATGGAGCCTATTGCTGTATTTATCAAAGTTATGGATAATTGATTTGGATTTGGGTTAATAGAGACTTAGGCTTCTAGCAGAGGGGAAAAAAGGGTTGACAAACTTAAAATACCCAGATCCCTAATTCTTCTGGTCTATGCTTTTGAAGCTAGTCTAATTTTTAAGTCAAAACATTTGAATGGCAGTTTTCAGAGCCAAATATATAAGAATCTTTGGAAAGTATAGAAAGGGCAGAATATTATGCACATAGAAGATTTTGTGTTCCCTTTCAAATAAAATGAGGTCCCTCTGCTCTAGAGAATCTGTGTTTTGAACAGTAGATAGTTTTTAAGGAGATCCGGCCATGCTGACCATCAAAATAGGTATTCCATATCACAGTTAAAACAGAACTCCACAAAGACAGCTATTTTGTAAACTCTTATATGGCACATTGTCATATATTTCTGATTGAATTCAATACTACTTATTACATTAGGTTACAATAATGAAATAAATTGTTAATGTACTAGACTAATGTTACTTTTTACATTTGTAAATAAATTTTAAGGAACAATATCAATTTGAAAAGTCTTAATTTCAGACACTATGTATTCAAATAGGCTTAACATTTCAAAATTAACACTTCCCCGTAAGTATTTGCTAAAATCTGGAATACCAATTAGATGCAGGTTAATTAATGATTAGCCATGTTTTAATGTCACTTAGAAACAGAAAGTCAACTAAATAGGAACAGAGAATCTGTGAAAACTTTCTGCAAATGAACCTGTTATTCTCTCCTTTTCTGCTCTTCTCATTAAGCCCATAGAGGAACAGAAATCAGCAAAAAGTTACGGGAATAAGACAGGAAGTTGCTTCCACTCGTAAACATAAAAAGGAAAAGTTTGTAATAAGGACAGTATCAGTCTTTTAAGAAGGGAATCTAGAAAGGTTTGTTGAGGACATAAAAGCTCTTTTGGTATGGAAAGAGGGTCAGAAACTAAAAGTCAGAGTGTTAAGTGTTAAAACTGAGTGTTTGATGGAGAAGTTACACCTATACTATGAGTTATTTTCAAGAATTATGTCAATGAAGATAAGATATTTGACAATATCGGTGTTAAGGAACTTTGTGCTTAACTGTGGGAAATCATACACACTTGTAGAAAAAAAAGGCAAAAGTCGTTGAGGAAAGAATTTGGGGCAGATGTTCAATGACGTTTATGATGGTATATAAGTCCAGAAGAATGAAGACGGTTTGGACAACGGGCTGAATATATAGACAAATATTGAAGGGAAATTATCTAAAATATAATAAATCCATTTATCAGATGAAAACATTATGGGTTATTTCTTCTTCTATGATTACCCATCTTTTCCGAATTTCCCATAATGGATAATCTAACTAGAAACAGAATTAAGAGCAATATATGTGTCTTAGATCTCTTCAGCCTCTGAGAAGCGCTCCTCAGAGGCTGCGGGGAAGGAAAAAAGAAAAGGAGGGTATTCAGAGATTGGTGGAGGGGTGGTTGGGTATTAGAGTACACTTAGTGGGTTGTAGTGATTAATTCTATAGAATAGGTGAATTTATATACTCAGAATAGTATATATGTGACAGTGACAGAATAAAGATGAAGGAATTAATATTGATGAAATAACTATAAATGTAGTCAGTATCTAACTGAACAGTAAGAGAAAATCATACAAAGATGAATTTAAGCATAGAGCATAGATTAAGAATATAATCATTATAGTCAAATTAATACCAGACAGACAATAATTATATGAGTCAAAACATTTTCTGTCCCCTTGGCTTTGCTTATTCCGTATCAACTTGATATGAATTCTGATGCCTTTAGAAAGTATTATCTTACAGGAGAGTGTGTATATTCATAATATGCCTTTAATAACTATGTATTTGTATTTTATGTAATGCTTATTATTTAGAACTAAAGGTGAAACAATTCTGGCATAAACAATGAAATAGATTTTTTGAAGCATTGATTTTCACTGGAGACAGAAGTCTTGATATTAACAATGCCTCAGACCACTAGACAGGAAAAGAGTGGATGATGAGGCACTTCATTAATAGAATGATAACTAGTTCTTCATGCACAGACCATTAAGAAGACTTTTTGTCAAATTTATCACCTTGTGGTACATAAGAGTCAATCAAAAATCAAGGATAATTGCAATTTCTCAGAAATAGTCTCCATTTGTTCCAGCCATATAGCTTCCTTTTATGATTCCTTTTGCTGTTATTAAATAAAATACATGAAAAACTAATATTATCTAAAATTTTCCACACTGGAGTGTAGAATACACTTTAAAATAATTTTTAAAGGAAGAGTCTCATCAGAACTCCTGGTGCCTAAATATTTATGAAGAGATAAATATAACCATTTATTATTCATTTGGAATGAGAAAATAAAACATATTTCCTTAGTGATACTGTCTTTTGACAAACATTCCTAACATCTCTACCCAAGACAATACAAGAAGCTTATTTATAAGGAATATAAATTGGTGCATTCTATGAAATAAGTTTGGAAATAATCATTCTCTTTAAAATTGGCTAATTTGGCAATTATTTGGCTTAACTAGAAATTATATTCTGTGAATTAAAATTCGCATACTTTCATATATATATGTGTATATATATATGTATATATATACATATATATATACTTCAAATGATTATTAAATATTTTAAAAACCTCAAATGTGATAAATCTATAAAACAGGGGTGCCTGGGTGGCTCAGTCGTTGAGCGTCTGCCTTCGGCTCAGGTCATGATCTCAGGGTCCTGGGATCGAGCCCCACATCGGGCTCCTCGCTCCGCGGGAAGCCTGCTTCTCCCTCTCACACTCCCCTTGCTTGTGTTCCCTCTCTCGCTGTCACTCTCTCTGTCAAATAAAAAAAAAAAATCTTTAAAAAAAATCTATAAAACATTTTTTAAAGATTTATTTATTTATTTATTTATTTATTTATTTATTTATTTATTTATTTATCTATTTGAAGGAGAAAGAGTATGCACCAGAGAGGGGGGATGGGTGGAGGTAGAGAGAATCTCAAGCAGACTCCCCACGAGCACAGGACCCTGAGATCATGACCTGAGCTGAAATCAAGAGTCAGACGTTTAAGCAACTGAGCCACCCAAAGCGCCCCAAATCTATGACATCAAATAACATTTCTACTCAATATACTTATTATTTATAAAACATTAAAATGTTTGTCATATTAGCATATTATATTATGTATTTTTATCCTTAATGTTTTTACGCATTAGAAATACATCTATAATATATAAAACGTTAAGCATAGGCATTATAATACTTTATCCAGTGCATGAAATCAGGATGCTAAACCTCTCTGTAGCATTGATAATAGAATTATTTAGGAAAACAAATATTACTACAAATGATCGACTTTGTCTTAATTTATGTTTAAAATTCTTTTAAAATATTTAAATTGTTCCCTAAATGATTTCAAAAACTAGTCTGAGTTGGGTAACTAGATATTGCTATTTTGTGTATCATGTGGTGATGATATGTTCCATTTTTCCAAATGATCTGACCCTTAATTGAGAAAGCATCATTATGTATTTTACCTCAACACTTTTTTAAACCTATAAACTTTAAATGTTTTTGTTGTGATAAAATATACATAACATAAAATTTACCATATTAACTATTTTACGTGTACAGTTGAGTGGCATTAAGAACATTAACACTGATAGGGTGCCTGGGTGTTTCAGTCGGTTAAGCATCTGCCTTTGGCTCAGGTCATGATCCCAGAGTCCTGGGATCGAGCCCCGCATCAGGGTCTCTGCTCAGCATGGAGCCTGCTTCTCCCTCTGGCTGCAGATCACCCTGCTTGAGTTTTCTCTCTCTCTCTCTCTGACAAATAAATAAATAAAATCTTAAAAAAAAAAAAAAGAACATTCACATTTTTATTCAATGGCCACTGCCATCCATCACTAGAACTTTTTCATTGATATCTTTTTATTTATGTGCATTGTCAAAAATAATGTGTATTTATAAGTTTTTATTTTATGTATTTATATATGCCTTTATAGAATCCATATGAAAACAATTGAGTGAGGCTCGAGTTGAATGCATGAGCTACATTTTTTTCCCTTTTATTCACCATTCTATTTCATGCTCTGTGATTCTGTCCTAGCTTCTGTTTAGGGAAATTTGATAAATGTTGCTGAGAGAACTGACAATTTCTCAAGATTTTTACTCTTTAGGTCTATCACCTTTTGTTCAGGAATTATAATCTCCAGGTCTGTGTCTTAAGTGAAACCTCCTCTCCTATTCTGAATGACATTTATTCTTTCAGGTCTTCAACAATGTGTTGGTGTTTTAAAGTCCCAGAGTATAATTAAAGCGTGGGTTAGAATATATTTTGAGCTAATTTTGATGCTACTGTATAAATATTTACAAGGTTTCATGGCTTGAAATGCTTCTGATATTAATTCAGAGTAAAGTCTGAGAGATTTCAGACACCTTAGTGCTGAGGTGCTGATGAAAGAAAGAGTATCTTCTTTTTCAAGGTCAAAATAAGAGTGTTTACCTACACAAAGTTGTCATGCCTTTAATACATTTTGCATTTAGACAAGGTCTGATTAT